AGCGTTTGAATCGCAAAACAAAACGAAACTTCAGAAACTTTAAGGCATTCGGTTCTTCATCCAAACTTACCTACTAGCTGTCGCGCGCTAACACATACAGCTAGAAGTAAGAAAGTGGCGAAGGAATAAAAACTGTTCAGGTTGTCGGCCCAATCTCCGTCACCTGCTAAATGAACAATGCCTTTGAAGAAAGCACCAAAAGCAGCCAGCATTCCAACTAGTTGTTACTAAGTTTTGAGAAACTTTTGAAGTCACGTGAAAGTATTGAGATAATATGAACTCAGAATAACAGCAGCGACAGCAGCGAGAAATTTTTAAACTTTTAAAGAAGTTGCTAAGTTACTGAGAACAACCGATTTAATCATTATTTAAATTAAAAATAATCAAATAAATTAATCAGAAGACAAAAACAACTAACTTTTTTAAATATGTTTCAGAGTTCAAAAATCGTTTTAAATTTTCGATCCGATGCTCTATTGAAAAGCCAAATGTTCGATACAAGCAGAATGACACAAATGTGGTTGCCAGATTACATTTGGCGAACAATGATGCGACTGTTTGCATCTGCTTTGAGCAGTGAATTATTCACAAGTTTGATTGGTGGGGGGATTTGATTTCAAGAGGAGGACTGACTTCCTTGCTGTCTAAAACGGACTCTCAAACAGGGAACGCGAGGAGATCAAATGAAGTGTCATTCTGATTTGTTCATCATCGGAAATAGATGATCAAATATTTATACTTTTTAATGCCATCATTGCCTCTATAATTACTTCTGTGGGTATTGGTATTTAAATAAATAATAACTTGCTGGACACAAGTTGACTGCTCTCAATGAAGCTGCCTTTAGGATGAATGCATTTTTGTTTTTTTTTTGCCAAAATTTGCGGAAAGTGTACTGGGCGGTTGAGGGTTGAATAATTGAAAAACGAAAAGCATGCTTATTTATATCAATTGAAAACAGTTAAGAAACGTGAAAATTTAGATGCACTTTTTTCCGAGGCGCATCCATCTTCAAGCATTAATAATCAACCATTTTTTGATTTTAGAAAAAGTCTTCAAAAAATTAAGAAAATTCCTATTATAATTATAATCCTATTATAATTATAATTATAATTACAACCAAATTACAATCAGTTATAGAGCATTCGAATTGATCACAATCGACTATTATTTTTTATGATTGTCGATATAATTGAATTGATAATAATCGATACTGTTAACCCTTTTTCATTATTTTTGCTATAAAAGTTAGTTCTGCATAAATTGCCTATAAAACATCTCGCTTATCAAGAGATCTCTATAAAACTTCTGTGCGGTAAAACATGAGTTCAGTTGAACAAAGAGATGACAAGACAACTCAGGTTTAGAGTTTTCATTTTGGACGCTTTCTCCAATCAGGGATTCCCCCTGCCGACACTTTGTACGATTTTGAAATATCTGTTTTTGGCTTAACTGATCTTGAAATATTTCTATAGGCGCCTTTGGCGCCAATCTATGCTACTTTTATGAGGTCGAAATTTTTTTTTGGTCGAAATTTTCCAAAAAGTTCCCAAAAACTCCTTTTTTGACCGATTTCGAAAACTCGCCTGCGGCCTGAAAATTTGGTCTAATTAGGGTCTTTATAGTGGTTTAGGAGAGCTCAGAAAATCAATTTGGTCGACCTAAAAAAAGGCCAAAAATTTTTTCAAATTTTTTTTAAAAAAAATCTCCCCCCCCCCTCAAGAAATTCCTAGATCCGCGCTTGGTGCAAATTAAATCACCTTATAGTTTAAAATGGGCGTGGCGAAAAGATTTACCAAAAATTTTTTGCATGACTTTTTAGCAAAAAAACTTCATTGAGGCTTCTGATTACTTTTGACTTTTCAGAAAAAAAAATCTTTTTTTTAAGGCATTCGGTTCTTCATCCAAACTTACCTACTGGCTGTCGCGCTAACACATACAGCTAGAAGTAAGAAAGTGGCGAAGGAATAAAAACTGTTCAGGTTGTCGGCCCAATCTCCGTCACCTGCTAAATGAACAATGCCTTTGAAGAAAGCACCAAAAGCAGCCAGCATTCCAACTAATTGTTACTAAGTTTTAAGAAACTTTTGAAGTCACGTAAAAGTATTGAGATAATATGAACTCAGAATAACAGCAGCGACAGCAGCGACAAATTTTTAAACTTTTTAAGAAGTTGCTAAGTTACTGAGAACAACCGATTTAATCATTATTTAAATTAAAAATAATCAAATAAATTAATCAGAAGACAAAAACAACTAACTTTTTTAAATATGTTTCAGAGTTCAAAAATCGTTTCAAATTTTCGATCCGATGCTCTATTGAAAAACCAAATGTTCGATACAAGCAGAATGACACAAATGTGGTTGCCAGATTACATTTGGCGAACAATGATGCGACTGTTTGCATCTGCTTTGAGCAGTGAATTATTCACAAGTTTGGTGGGGGGATTTGATTTCAAGAGGAGGACTGACTTCCTTGCTGTCTAAAACGGACTCTCAAACAGGGAACGCGAGGAGATCAAATGAAGTGTCATTCTGATTTTTTCATCATCGGAAATAGATGATCAAATATTTATACTTTTTAATGCCATCATTGCCTCTATAATTACTTCTGTGGGTATTGGTATTTAAATAAATAAAAACTTGCTGGACACAAGTTGACTGCTCTCAATGAAGCTGCCTTTAGGATGAACGCATTTTTGTTTTTTTTGCCAAAATTTGCGGAAAGTGTACTGGGCGGTTGAGGGTTGAATAATTGAAAAACGAAAAGCATGCTTATTTATATCAATTGAAAACAGTTAAGAAACGTGAAAATTTAGATGCACTTTTTTCCGAGGCGCATCCATCTTCAAGCATTAATAATCAACCATTTTTTGATATTAGAAAAAGTCTTCAAAAAATTAAGAAATTCCTATTATAATTATAATCCTATAATAATTATAATTATAATTACAACCAAATTACAATCAGTTATAGAGCATTCGAATTGATCACAATCGACTATTATTTTTTATGATTGTCGATATAATTGAATTGATAATAATCGATACTGTTAACCCTTTTTCATTATTTTTGCTATAAAAGTTAGTTCTGCATAAATTGCCTATAAAACATCTCGCTTATCAAGAGATCTCTATAAAACTTCTGTGCGGTAAAAGTATGAGTTCAGTTGAACAAAGAGATGACAAGACAACTCAGGTTTAGAGTTTTCATTTTGGACGCTTTCTCCAATCAGGGATTCCCCCTGCCGACACTTTGTACGATTTTGAAATATCTGTTTTTGGCTTAACTGACCTTGAAATATTTCTACAGACGCCTTTGGCGCCAATCTATGCTACTTTTATGAGGTCGAAATTTTTTTTTGGTTGAAATTTTCCAAAAAGTTCCCAAAAACTCCTTTTTTGACCGATTTCGAAAACTCGCCTGCGGCCTGAAAATTTGGTCTAATTAGGGTCTTTATAGTGGTTTAGGAGAGCTCAGAAAATCAATTTGGTCGACCTAAAAAAAGGCCAAAAATTTTTTCAAATTTTTTTTAAACAAAATCTCCCCCCCCCCCCTCGAGAAACTCCTAGATCCGCGCTTGGTGCAAATTAAATCACCTTATAGTTTAAAATGGGCGTGGGGAAAATATTTACCAAAAGTTTTTTGCATGACTTTTTAGCAAAAAAACTTCATTGAGGCTTCTGATTACTTTTGACTTTTCAGAAAAAAAAACCTTTTTTTTTTACAAAAGCAAACGTTCTCATGTGAAAAATATCAATATTTTAAGCAGAGAAGCAAACGTTTATTTCTCCTGCTGTTTTTTGTTGAGTAATGTGAAATTTGAATAAGCCAGTTTGCGGAATAATGTGCAGAACAGTTTTTTTTTAATTTCTTCTAAATTTAAATCAGCACACTATAAAGTTTGATTCAAAGTTTGTTCTCACAAGCGGTCTTTGCCGGTAAAACGTACAGAGAATGACCGCAGTTCAAAAGTTCGAAAAGATTTTTTCAAGCTTTTACTTGCCAAGTTAACCAGAATTGTTTGTTTTCAGTCCTATATAGTGGGCATATAAGATTCAGAAATATTCAAGTTTTTTTTTATTTTGTTAGCTGAAAGTGTTTTACATATTAAATGTGTTATTAATGTCTGAATATATGTTTGTCCCCTCATTCGGTGGACACCGCCATTGTCAGTTTGAATTGAATACTCGCTTAGTTTCTCTTTGAATTGAAACTGTTCATGAGCATTTGCCAAAAACTCACACAGTTTCGGTCCTTGACACAATTTAATGTTAAGAAAGAACCCTGCTAACAAAAAAAGGCGATAGTTTGGTAAAAATATCCTCTCGGGAACTAGCAAATTAGACAGCAACCAAATAAGACGCGACCCAAAAAAAATACTTCAGAAAGATTTGCAAAACCGCAATTATGAGGAAAATGACGCTTACTTTTGAGCCTAGGTGGTCGGAGAACCAACAAGCTGTCAGTACTTGAGTTTTTTTTAAATATATTATATCTTACTAGTATCGTGTATTCATACCACATAGTTTGTATAATCAAATTTTTTTCACAAGTTTCTAGACATAATGTTTTCCTTCATCCACGACCTTTTTTTAGCAAGTTCAGTAGTGTTTCGAAGGGTCTGATGCTACTATTTTATGACAGCCATAGTGTTTTGGATTTGAGATTTCGTTTCAATTGTGTGTTCGGAAAAAGAAAGACATGTCGAAGAAAACGAAATTAGTTGGTTCAAATCTGATACTGGTTGTGCTAAAATTTTTGATCATCGTCCATTTTTTCGATATTTTGAGCTGAGATATTTTTCGCTCATCTAACTTTACATGGTGCAATATAAGCAGTGAAATTGTAGAATAAAAAAAAAATTTTGGGTTTCGAGTTTTGGGTTCAGAGCCCATCTAAAAGTTAGATAGTTCTTGAGTACTTTCTTGTACCGTTTAACAATAACTCACATATTGTGAGAAAATTCATTGTAATAAAATAGTGGAAGAAGGAACTCACCCACGTATTGTTTCGTGGACACTAAAATGCCTAAGACGACCAGAATCATGGCCGTGAATCTATGGTTCAATCTGTCTACCCAGTCCCCATCCGAAGCTGTCTGCACAGAAATCAACGCCTTCAGAATGTGTGCTATCATGTTGCAGGTAATTTGAGGTCAACTTTGGCCCAGGAAAACTGCAGGGATAACTCTGCAACTTAACTTGAATTCAATTCAGATGAACGTGAGGTAAACTTCGGGTCAATTTGGGATCCAAAGAAATGGGATCTGAAAGAAAAATTCTGTCAGAGTTTAATTTCAAGAAACATAAAATCAGATAGAATCTCAGCAAAATTGAAATCTGATAGTGAGAATTGTGGAAAAGGTTAGCAAGGACCCACTGAGTTGGCTTTTGTGTCAAAAAAGGAAAACGTGTTGTATTTATTATTATTACCATAAGCTTTAAATAGATTCTTCGCTGCAAAAAATGCTAGTTATCTTGTTTTGAAATGTATAATATTTCTTTTTGCTGAAATTAATTGGTAGACTTTTCAAATTTGGCGATCATTCTGCTCAAAATAAGAAGTATGGCGCATTATTTTCGACTAACAGCTTCATAAATTAATAATAATGGTTTTAAGAATGGTCACTGACGACTATGGACGTCCTGGTCAACGGAAATAAATAATGGATCACTTTCATTACGTACAGTAACGCTTTATTTCGTAAATTTTGATGATTTAAAAAATGAGTAAAAATGAGACAAAAAAGAATCTATTGAATAGGAAGTGAAAAAATATAACAAAAAATGAGTTAGGAAGTAACAATCGAATAATTCAGATGGTAAGAAGAACAGCTCAAATTACAATCATTTTCAATTTCGGCCACAAAAAAAAACGTTTGTTGCGTTCTATAATTGATGCTACTTTTTAAATACAAACATACCGACTAAACAAAGATAACTAATTGGTAGGAATTATAGGAAGCAGAAAATTCTTTTTTTCATTTTGTCGCACATTGGGACTGAATTCTTCAATGTTTTCGAGGAAAGTAAAAAATGAACTTTGATGGAGAATTTCAGATTTGGTTAAGTGGCTGATTTAATTGATTCTTCACTGCTTCCCGATGAATTATCGACTGTTAGTATTTTCTTCGTTTCCTCTGCGAAGAGAATTCTATGACGTATTCAAGATGTATGCTTTTCCATTTTTATTCGTCAGTTTCTGCTAGGTATTGCAATTTCTAGAACATATAAAAAAAATCAAATACTCAGATAAAAGTGTTTTTCTTTAATTGATTTTTGTGTCTACGTTTTCAAAGATTGAATATCGACGTGACATTGGGTATTTGAATATTTGACACTGGGTTCATAATTTAAAAACTTAACATACTATATTGTCTCAATTACGGCTTGACGTTTTCAACCTTATACATTGTAACAAAGATCCCATTGCGATAATTCTGATTACATTTTGTTTGTATAGATCTAGTTTAACTAGAAATTTTCTTTTCTTCGAAAATTGAAAAATCTGAGATATTTTGGGTGTTTGATAAAGTAAAACAAAAGCAGTCGTTATTTTTCAATTTGACCTGAGCATCAATTATGTGTGCTTCCATCTAATGTGTGCAGTATTGAAAGATTGTTTACCTCGGGAAAAGACCATATCTCACTTTTTAAATGGAAGAAGAAAAAATGTCGCTGACGTACAGCCAATGTGACCAATGTTTAAAAAAGCAGGTAGCAAGCTTTGTTCTTTTTTTGACAAAGAAAAGTCTCCCGATTTTACTTACTTAGAAAGTCTCAAAACGCAGGGAAATTTTAATAACGGTTAAATCCCTTTTTGTTTTTTTAATAACTGAAATGGTTTTGCGGTAAAAATCGCTCAAAATCAAAGCTAGTAACGCCTTTTGCTTACAAGAATGAGTTTTATTTACCTCTAGGTTTTTGGTGGTTTCAGCTCTACAGTTCAATTGTCTGTAACTGCTAAAGCGCCTTTACTGCTTCAACCTGAAAAACTGTCATAAAAGTGAATTTGAAATGTAAGTCCAGCCAGTTTCAAGTCTTGCCAACATCAGTTTGTGTCCTAATAAGCACAAGAAATAAAATCCACGCAGTGCATTTTCAGTTAAAAAACTAAAGCCGCTTAGAAGAAGAAAAAAAATATAAAACGTAATGTAACGTTGTTCTGTATTTGTTCTCAGTTGGCCAAATAGCTTGAAGGAGCATTATAAAACAGTGTGCTTTATAGCACCGTTTGCTTCTAAATGATGCGATTTGCCTCAGTTTTAGTTCTCTGAGAAGGAAGCAGTCTATAAACCATCGATTTGGGAAGCGCATAAACACAAACAGACGGGCTGAATCTGACAGCTAAGACAAATTGGAATGATCTGTTCCCGGATAATTGACAAATATGTGAGTTATACCGGGAAAAATATCTGGAAAAGGTAGTCAAATAGTTAATTAATCCAGTTGTCTCCGCAAACAAATTGCACCAAACCCCCAATGTGTACAAACTTGCAAATGGCCATGAAAGAGACCTGTTGTTGGAATAACCCAGTAGGAGAAATTTTTAGTCAGTGGCAAAAAAATTCCCTGAATGTTTTGCTTTCAGACCAATTTAGAGCAGTGACATAAAAAAATTTGAAGAAAAATAGCTTTTGAAACATCTGAGGCTTTCTTACTTTGCTTAAGCAAATCAAAAATTAATAAAAAAAATGAAAAAATACTATTTCTTTCAATATTTAAATTTGATTTTGAATTTTTTTTCAAATAAGTGTGGTCAGATAGTCTGATTTAAATGCAAAGCAACAAGATATCTTGGTTAAGGTTTTTAAAAAAGCGGTGCGGTAAAGAGAGAACTAAAACTTCAAAAAAAAACTAACAGCTTAACGAAAAAACGAAAAAACGAAAAAACGAGATTAACGAAAAAACAGTTTTAACTTCTTCTCAGGTTCTACTCTCCCTGAGGTTACTGGCTTTTGATGCTATATAGCAAAAAAAAGGAAAAAGTGTTTTTCTCAGCATTGACAATCATTTGCAATTTTTAAAACGGTGTCAGGACTATTTGCCCCAAGTCAATTGGCCCTATGCCATCTTGTCCTATACTAACTTGCCCTACATGGCAACTTGTCCTATGCCAACTTGCCCCACATGACATTTTGTCCTATGCCGTTTTATTCCATACTTAACACTTTTACTTGATTCATTGATGTTCAAATTGAGGACCAGCAAGTGCTAATGTACACTGGACTCGTTTCGAGATAACAAAAGACTCTAATTGAAAATATTCGAAGCTGACCCTAAAAAAGCATAATTTTTGGTAATTACACGCCAAACTTTGACAATAATCCACAATTAGCGCCTTTGAAACAAAATGAAACACGGCTATTCTTTCATTTTGCTTCATTGTTTACCATTTCATTTCGTTCTTAAACATCCACATAAATACTTCAACATAAATACTATGAGTCAACTTACGTGGGGAATATCTCAACGAAACAAACGAACGCTAATTATTGACGGACACGATTTCACAAAAAAGCAGACGACAAAAACTACTGAGCACTGGAGATGCGCAAGATACAGTTCACACAAATGCCGCATGCTCGCCGTCACAGCAGGAGATGAACTCGTCTCAACAAAAAATGAGCACAGCCACGATGTTAGACCTGGGAAAATTGAGGCAAACCAGATCATGCATCAAATGAAAAAAGAGGCCAGGCAGCAAATTGTACCTGTTAATAGTAGTATAATTGCCACTTGTCTCCAGGAAGTAACTGATGAGAAAGCTGTTCAATTATCCTTGCCCAGTCGTGCAGCAATAAACAGAACTCTTAACCGCCAGAAACAGAACTTGGTCCCGTCCTTGCCAATCATTAAAGACAGGCATTTCATAATTCCGACGGAATATTCTGATTTCTGTTTATTCGACAGTGGTGTTATGGATCCAGAGCGAATTTTGATTTTCGGTGATCGAGATAATGTTCATGCCCTCCAAGTTCACAATTCTCTTTGGCTTTGCGACGGTACATTCAAAATTTGCCCAATGCAATTTTACCAGCTTTATACCATTCATATTCAAATCGGTGGATTTTACCCGCCATGCCTTTATGCTCTACTGCCAAACAAAACCGAACAAACGTACTCAAAATTCCTGAAAGCCATCATCCTCTGTCTCTGATAACGCGCAACCATCGAGGATCCTTCTAGATTTCGAACGAGCTGCCGTAAACGCTTTTACAAGTGCGTTTCCAGAGTCTTCAATCAAAGGCTGTTACTTTCACCTCTGCCAGGCCTTTTTACGCAAAATTAACGAGCTAGGCCTAAAGAAAGCCTATGAAAACAACTGCGAGCTAAGCTTGGCACTGCGTTTAATACCCGCTCTCAGTTTTGTTCCAACTGATTTAGTGGAACAATCGTTCGAGAGCGTAATTGAGGAGATTGAGCATGTGGTGGACAGATTAGATCTTGAGCAAAGCCTGTCAGATAAAATTGACGAACTTGCCTCATACTTTCAGAGAAGTTATATAAAGGGCGAAACAATAGGGCGAAACAGCAGGCAACCGTTATTCCCTATGAGTCTCTGGAACCATTCCCAAGAAGCAGCGGAAGGCTTGATACGAACGACAAACGCCGTTGAAGGTTGGCATCTTGGAGTGACAGCATTATTTCAAGGGAGCCACCCAAGCCTCTACATTTTCTTGAATAAGATTCAAATGGACTCAGCAAACCAGAAGTTCAACATTTTGAAGGCTATGGGGGGAACACAGAATCAAGGGCGGAAGAAATATCGGGACATTCATGAAAAAATACAAAACATTTCTAGTAATTTCAACAAAGACCATGTTGTTGACTATTTATATGCACTAGCTCATTTAACTCTTTCGTAATTTTTAAATTGTCGGCATAATTTCCACTTAATTGTCGGCATTTTGTTGCATTTTTAATTGATTTTTAAAAAATCATCACTTTTTTAACTTATAGCCATCGTACAGGGTCCAAATTTTGAGAGATGATAAAGGCCAATACTGCAATAATTTTGCTCTTTCCCTCACCCCGCCCCCTATTCTGGGTTACCCAGTATAGGGGGGTTTAAGGGGCGAGGCAGTACCTGCGGTTTTCCATTTCATTGATTTCATACTAAAATTTTTTGACTTCTTCAAGTTTTGAACTCTTGACTTCTTGATTAAGAGTGTTGTGCACTATTAACTATGCTATTGAAGCTTACAAAATCAGCAATCAATCTTTTGAAATATTTAACTCGACATGAAAATTGCATTGAAATTTTGCCGCGTTCATTTTGTTCATGCATGCTTTGAACTCATTTTGATTCAGCGCATGTTTAAATGATTCCGCATTTTGTTTCAAGCTTAATTGTTCACAAACAAGTCTTTCATCTTTATGCCGACATTATGTTCTACGAGGATATCAAAGAATCTGGGGCAAGTTTCATTTTTTATTATATGGGACAAGATGGCATAGGACAAGTTGTCATCTGGGGCAAGTTGGAATCGGACAAATTGGGCTGGGACAAGTTGACTTGGGGCAAAATGACATGTAACCTTTAAAACACCCTTCGAGCCACTACTTTGATACTACTTTTTTGATAATTTTTTAAATCATTTTTTTGGTCCATTTTGCAGTAAATTCTAGTTTAATGGATTGAAATTGGTGAGAAAATGCCTCAAGTAAAAGTAATAGTAGCTAAATTAATGCTGAAACATTAAGTACAAATGAATTACCTGCAGGTCAGCTTCTATTAAACTTGTCTAATTAGTCTGAAAATCGTAAGAATCAGACAAATTAATCTCAACAGCGGAAAAAATTCTGGATTGTTTTTGCAATCCTAACCACTTATCAATGGGCTTTAAAATGATATCACACTTGACCCCGTACAACTTTTCTTTGAGGTAGTTAAAATTGGGTTGGAAAAGAAACAGGGTGTGTTTTTTAGAATGTGGGGTGTGTTTCTTTTCCACCCCAATTTTAACTACCTCAAAGAAAAGTTGTACGGGGTCAAGTGTGATATCATTTCAAAACCCATTCATAAGTGATTAGGATTGCAAAAACAATCCAGAATTTTTTTCCGCTGTTGAGATAAATTTGTCTGATTTTTTGCGATTTTCAGACTAATAAGTTTTCTTCGAGAAAATTTTTTTAAAGAATATTCTTGTTTTCAGTTTTGATTTCATTTTGCGAAGATAAACTTATGTACTACTTTAAGCCTATTCTTGGTCAACTTCAAACTTGGGTGCGGGATTCCTCTGTTTTTGTTCAAAAAAATTGTCTAGAGAGGGCAGTTTTAGGAGGTGCGTATCTCATCTCGTATGATTGTATGATTGCGGAAATCAGTTTAAGAATCAAAAATAAATCCTTAAATTTAAATTTTCCTGTAAAAGTTCTTATTTTCGAAAAGTTAGATGAGATGAGATGAGCTAGGGAAAGACGATTGATATGATAGTAATATAAGTGATTTAATTTCCGCTGTTCAGATATGATTTTAAATCACCCTTTGTACATTTTGTAACTCAGAAAATTTTTTATTGTCACTCAAATTTGACTGAAGGACTTAAGAATGATATTTCGCTCTAATTGTCTGGTATATCAGCCTGGTACCTTAATTTATTTCAAAACACCCAAAATGATATCCCTTTTCAATTGCGGTAGTCGGAAAAACAATCACAAATATGCTGTGGTCAATTTATATCACAAATTTTCTGACTAGTGTTATCATATTTTCATTTTTCATTATCGCTTTGTTTTTTTTCTACTACAGTCGGCCTAATTGTTGTTCAATTTCACTTAGCTTAAGACCTTTGAACTGCTTTGTTTACTTATTTTGTCACGTTGTTTGATTGCAGTTGGTTTGAATATTTCATAAGAGCAAAAAATCTTAAAAAAAACTTTGGACTTTCCTCACATGTAGTTTTCTTCCAAATAAAAATAATCCTAGTTGTTCGACTCCTCTCTGCACAAGCCGTGATTGGAATTGCAAAAAAAATCAAAATGAACAGTGTCGTGAAAAAAATAGTTTGAAAATTTTTTTTAGCTGAAGAGCTAAAAAATATTTTATTTTCAGTTTTCATTTTTTTGAATACTTTTTAAGTTGGTCTTTTAAAATTGTTTTTAAGTTTCGCATAGAGTTTTTGTCAGCCTGTAAAAATTTTTTAAAATATTGCGGTCCTTTAAACTCAATATAGTACGTTAAAATGCGCATCTGACACAAAAACGGGACAAAGTGTACAAAAACTGTTTCTCCTTTACTTTTGGCTTTAGTTTTTGCTGCCCTTATAAATCCGTCGACAAAACTTATCTGCTGTTTTTTGCTAAAAATTGTTGGTCAAAAAATTCTGGAGCTCACTTTGATTTAAAGCAGGCCATTATAATTTTTACATGAATAAATAGTGAAAATAATCCAAAATGGATCTAGACGTCAGTGGAGATTGTATATAGAGCGCCAGCTCGGTGTATATTGATATATTTTAGCCAGTTTTTTTTATATCTTTTTGTTCTGATAATTATGATTAATTTTCAAAAAATATCCGGCTATTGAAAATATCCGTAACCCATCAATTATCAATCGGAGATTAAAAAACCTTTATTTTATGTAAGGACGCGCCAAAAGTTCTCTGAGGCAAATTCTTCAAGGTAGGAAAATCAGGTCGCTATTTTAAAGCAACTCAATTAGGAGCATAGTTGTTTTCACTCAGTGGGTTCAAAATATGATTCATGATTTGAGTATGCTATAGACATAAATAGAAACTCACCTTGCTTGAAGTGTTTTTCTCCAAAAATTATCACCGTAAGTTTTTTTTGTTAAAATTAAACAATTAATTCAACAAATTTCAATGAAAGACTCAAGTTTCAATGCGTCATCGCGACTTCTAAAATAAATCTGTTATTTGGTTGGAAAATTGATGTCGAAAACGGAATCGATTTCATCCTGACAATAGTTGAATGATTTTTATCCGAGTAGTCAATTGGGAAAATAACCTGGGCAACTAATGCCAGGGGAATAAAGGGGGGAATTATAAGCAAAACACCCGCGTGGTATAATATATCCGGTCAATATATATTTTCACTTCCAAAAAGTCGCGGAGATCGACGATTTTTAACAGAAGTGCGGATATTTTTCTGTGATGGGGATATTTTATAACTGATTTATTTCCCGGTGCAGCTAGCTCTATTGAGGAGGTAAAAAAGAGAGAGGAAAATAGAATAAAGCAAGAAAAGTCTTGAATAATTGAGGCTATATATTCCTTTCTTGTCCTTAATTCCTACGTGGTATATATGCCCTGTTATACCTTGGTCATTTTTACATGTTCCTTTTTAGCACTATTTCGTACCAGCTTATCATAGATTCAATTTTCACGCGCATATTTTAAATCAGCGTGATAGGAAAAATTGAGAAAATGAGATAAGGCTAAGGGCTTCAATAATACATTGCAAAATGGGTTTAAAGACTTCTTTTTTTCCGAGGGCAGTTGTTACCCCCCAATAAAGGAAGCCACCTTAGCGGGTTATTCCGGTTTGTTGTTAGACTATTTTTCCCTTTGTTATACGCAAGCATCTATCGCGCCATATGCAGAACCGCCAAGGGTGAATTCTCAGGGCAATTTTTCAACATCCTTTTGCGTCAACCTTATATTGCAATATGGAAACAGTTTAGATGCTTGACGTTATTCGGACGTCTGCGAGGGTTAAGACTAGGCTATACCGAAGGCAGGATCCTCGCAAAATAGTAGAGTAATCCGCTAATAAACAGCGAATAATAACTACTCGGTACAGCGTCACAGATTCCTGATTATACAAAAAATTATATGGGGACAATTGAGAATATTTCAGGAAAAGTATGCAAGCGCCGCTAGTTTCCTGCAATTTTCTGTTTTTTTCCTACGCTACTGTGCCTTTTTATAAAGCGGCTTTACTTTTTTCCCAATTTAGTTAAGTACATTTTTTACCACACGTTTGTTTTCATATGGCGTGCCATTTAAAGGTAGGGCCGCTAAAGGTACCTACTCTTTGTGTACTTTGATAACACTTAAATCTCAGCTTTTCTTTTGCGATGTAGTTGAAAATAGGTCTACATAAATGCAGGTGCAGTCGGCATTTTTGAGCGTTTTTAGCTCAGTGATTGACAAAAATTTCCCTACAACCTCAAGTTGCCAATCGAAAAAAGATACAGGTTCAAAACTGACGAACCATCTCAAAACAGGAAGTAACTTTCTTGATTAATTTGCTGTTGGATAAGCGTTAACCTTAACTTAATATTTTACTAATTGTGTCTAGACAATTTTTTCCAACAATCATTGACACGCACTGAGTTTGCGTTAAAGATGATCATCGATTTAAAACGACAATGAGATTAGAACAAACAGCCAATTTAAGAAACAAAAAGAAGGGTTTAGGAAATTAGACGACAAACAAATTAGACGATCAGAAAATAACGAAATTTAGACAATAGCTTGCTTGAAATTAATTTAACAATTGCGCTATGAGTACTTTGTAGAGTAGTTTTTTTGCTGATAACTAGAAATTTTGTCGATATATACCTAAAGCCCTCATACAACACGTCTGCAGCTATATGACATAAATATGAATACTTTTCTTGTATCTGGAACTAGATCTATTTTTCTATTGTCTCATGACTTAGGCGTTAGATGACTGTATGTTTTTGCCTATCTTCAACCAAATTACATTAAGGTCATTTGGATGAAGATAACCAAAAATATACACAGATTTAACGCCTATCCTCAGCCAAATTCAAGATCAATAAAAAGAATAGAAAGAGAGCTCTGGTTCAATGCAGGGGGTGGGATTTAGGGGTGGGACTTGACCCCTCCTTGCCGACCCAAAGAGTCCCCCCTTAGTTCTATTTTGAGATATCTATTTTGGTGACGAAACCTGTAAATTTTCTAAGAGCGCCTTTGGCGCCAAAAAATACTAATTTTGAGAGGGAAGGGCGCGCCAAAAAACGAAATTGTTTTGGTCAAAATATTCCTAAAAAGGCAGAAAAACGCCTTTTTTGACTTGTTTTTTCAAACTTTTCATGGGATGCAGACAATTTGGCCAAAACAAGGTTTTATTCGAGATTTTTTGAAGATATGCCCCCTCGAGAAAATCTTAGATCCGCCCTTGGTTCCAGGCAAACAAAAATATTTATATTCATGTCATACAACTGAGGACGTGTTGCATGTGGCGTTCAGCTACATATCGACAATTTTTCTAGGTATCAGCAAAAAGTAAGTCTCTAAAGATAGTGAGTTTTTTTTGCAACTTCATGTGGTGAAACGAGTTGTGGGCCTTCGAGCTTCCAATATTGTGCTCTGCAAGAATTTTTAAAATGGTAAAAAAAAAGAAATTTTTTAAAATGAACGAGCAAAAATTTTTGGAAAAGTTTTGTAGGAAAAATTCCTTTTTTACAATTTTTATCTCACAATTTTCTCAAAAGAAAAAGTCTCTATCTTATAATATTCTTAACCTAATTTTGAAAGAAGTTGTAAGATTCTTTAAAGAAAAGTTCTAAGATAGCGACTTTTGGTCAACTCGGGACTACTGTCTCGATTCTTTTAACCAAATTGTCCTGATTTAACAAGTCATTTGAATCTGAATTGACGGTTCTCAGAAAAACTATTTTTAAATACCGAATCATCCTTCAAATATTTCAAGCCCCCACATAGACCAAGTTATTATATTCCATCAAAGCAGTTATTTGGCATTTAAATTTGTTTAAATAAAATGCTCGATTCTGATTGCCTGAAAAATCCAACTTAGAACCAAATTAACATCCTCCCCCCGCCGCCAACAAAAAAACTCAGGGATTCGACTCCCTGCCGACCCAAAGGGTCCCCCTTTTGCACTGGTTTGAAGTATCCCTTTTTGATGACAGAACCTAAAATTTTTTTAAATGCGCCAATGAAAATTAATTTTGAGGGGAGTGTGCGCGCCTAAAAAAGAGCAATTTTTTGCTAAAAAATTTCCAAAAAATTGATAAAACGCTGTTTTTGGCCTGTTTTTTCAAAATCTTTCCTGCATCGCAGAAAATTTGTGAAAAGTAGGGTCTTTTTAGTGTTTTGCCAGAGCTTGGGATTTCAATTTGGTCGACCTAAAAAAAGGTCGACAAAATTCGAATTTTTTTGAATATCCTTCCCCCCCCCTCGAGAAAATCCTAAAGCCACCCCTGCTGTAAATACCACTTTCAATTTCATACCACTCTCCCTTCCGCTCCACTCCACGACCTGCGCAATTTAAAGTTGATCTGAAGAAAACAAAATTACCTTTGATGGCATAAAATAAAATCGAGAGAACCAATTCTTTTTCATTTTACTTTCAATTTTGTGAAAGGAAATCTTTGAGCAAATGTTTTTAAGAACCAATTTCAATATGATTCCGTACTTCAGAAAACACACAAAATAAGATCTTGACAGATTAGATCTTGAGCAAAGCCTGTCAGATAAAATTGACGAACTTGCCTCATACTTTCAGAGAAGTTATATAAAGGGCGAAACAATAGGGCGAAACAGCAGGCAACCGTTATTCCCTATGAGTCTCTGGAACCATTCCCAAGAAGCAGCGGAAGGCTTGATACGAACGACAAACGCCGTTGAAGGTTGGCATCTTGGAGTGACAGCATTATTTCAAGGGAGCCACCCAAGCCTCTACATTTTCTTGAATAAGATTCAAATGGACTCAGCAAACCAGAAGTTCAACATTTTGAAGGCTATGGGGGGAACACAGAATCAAGGGCGGAAGAAATATCGGGACATTCATGAAAAAATACAAAACATTTCTAGTAATTTCAACAAAGACCATGTTGTTGACTATTTATATGCACTAGCTCATTTAACTCTTTCGTAATTTTTAAATTGTCGGCATAATTTCCACTTAATTGTCGGCATTTTGTTGCATTTTTAATTGATTTTTAAAAAATCATCACTTTTTTAACTTATAGCCATCGTACAGGGTCCAAATTTTGAGAGATGATAAAGGCCAATACTGCAATAATTTTGCTCTTTCCCTCACCCCGCCCCCTATTCTGGGTTACCCAGTATAGGGGGGTTTAAGGGGCGAGGCAGTACCTGCGGTTTTCCATTTCATTGATTTCATACTGAAATTTTTTGACTTCTTCAAGTTTTGAACTCTTGACTTCTTGATTAAGAGTGTTGTGCACTATTAACTATGCTATTGAAGCTTACAAAATCAGCAATCAATCTTTTGAAATATTTAACTCGACATGAAAATTGCATTGAAATTTTGCCGCGTTCATTTTGTTCATGCATGCTTTGAACTCATTTTGATTCAGCGCATGTTTAAATGATTCCGCATTTTGTTTCAAGCTTAATTGTTCACAAACAAGTCTTTCATCTTTATGCCGACATTATGTTCTACGAGGATATCAAAGAATCTGGGGCAAGTTTCATTTTTTATTATATGGGACAAGATGGCATAGGACAAGTTGTCATCTGGGGCAAGTTGGAATCGGACAAATTGGGCTGGGACAAGTTGACTTGGGGCAAAATGACATGTAACCTTTAAAACACCCTTCGAGCCACTACTTTGATACTACTTTTTTGATAATTTTTTAAATCATTTTTTGGTCCATTTTGCAGTAAATTCTAGTTTAATGGATTGAAATTGGTGAGAAAATGCCTCAAGTAAAAGTAATAGTAGCTAAATTAATGCTGAAACATTAAGTACAAATGAATTACCTGCAGGTCAGCTTCTATTAAACTTGTCTAATTAGTCTGAAAATCGTAAGAATCAGACAAATTAATCTCAACAGCGGAAAAAATTCTGGATTGTTTTTGCAATCCTAACCACTTATCAATGGGCTTTAAAATGATATCACACTTGACCCCGTACAACTTTTCTTTGAGGTAGTTAAAATTGGGTTGGAAAAGAAACAGGGTGTGTTTTTTAGAATGTGGGGTGTGTTTCTTTTCCACCCCAATTTTAACTACCTCAAAGAAAAGTTGTACGGGGTCAAGTGTGATATCATTTCAAAACCCATTCATAAGTGATTAGGATTGCAAAAACAATCCAGAATTTTTTTCCGCTGTTGAGATAAATTTGTCTGATTTTTTGCGATTTTCAGACTAATAAGTTTTCTTCGAGAAAATTTTTTTAAAGAATATTCTTGTTTTCAGTTTTGATTTCATTTTGCGAAGATAAACTTATGTACTACTTTAAGCCTATTCTTGGTCAACTTCAAACTTGGGTGCGGGATTCCTCTGTTTTTGTTCAAAAAAATTGTCTAGAGAGGGCAGTTTTAGGAGGTGCGTATCTCATCTCGTATGATTGTATGATTGCGGAAATCAGTTTAAGAATCAAAAATAAATCCTTAAATTTAAATTTTCCTGTAAAAGTTCTTATTTTCGAAAAGTTAGATGAGATGAGATGAGCTAGGGAAAGACGATTGATATGATAGTAATATAAGTGATTTAATTTCCGCTGTTCAGATATGATTTTAAATCACCCTTTGTACATTTTGTAACTCAGAAAATTTTTTATTGTCACTCAAATTTGACTGAAGGACTTAAGAATGATATTTCGCTCTAATTGTCTGGTATATCAGCCTGGTACCTTAATTTATTTCAAAACACCCAAAATGATATCCCTTTTCAATTGCGGTAGTCGGAAAAACAATCACAAATATGCTGTGGTCAATTTATATCACAAATTTTCTGACTAGTGTTATCATATTTTCATTTTTCATTATCGCTTTGTTTTTTTTCTACTACAGTCGGCCTAATTGTTGTTCAATTTCACTTAGCTTAAGACCTTTGAACTGCTTTGTTTAGTTATTTTGTCACGTTGTTTGATTGCAGTTGGTTTGAATATTTCATAAGAGCAAAAAATCTTAAAAAAAACTTTGGACTTTCCTCACATGT